AAGAGATAAATGATTGAGATTTTATATAGATATAATATGTAAAATTTATATGTAAGTAGATTACTATTATATATATATTACCAACATGCATCTACTGGTAATGTACACTATTTTTTTTTTTTTATGCAGTAATGTACACACTATTCAATCACTACTAACTAAGCTATGAATGTTTTCTTCTTTATTGTTTCCTCAAAAATCCTTGGCGTCACGTGAGTTTGGCTTTAGGGCATACCATTTACACTTTCTAAAAATGAGAAAATAAGATTTCTTTGATGACCCTTCCTTTCTAGTAGTTGTCCTCTAAGTATGATGGCTAAAAAGGATGTCTATTTGTAAATTGTTGCAAAACAAAAGGTGGTGTTCTACAAAATAGGTTAAAAACACAAAAATATATAAAATACTACTAATCCTAAACTAAACTTAATATCCTAAACAAATTAACTAAAAATAACACAAAATCAACAAGCATTCAAGGGAAATTCATACATAGATGACTAGACAGACTCATAGATTATTATGTCTAAAATCCTAGACCATGATAAATTTTAGAAATTCAACTACAAAAAAAAATTTCAGAAATTAACACTTTTGAAATAACCTAAAATCAATTAAACTACTTGAAGATCTAACGCTAAATTAAACTAGAACATAGTCTAATTGCTAATTAATCAAAGATCTGGAAAATTGCAAACTGGTTTCCTACTTCAAAATCAAGAGAAAACAGTTCAAAAATGATGAATTTCAATGTGAAAGAAGACATGAAGGAAGCAAACATTCAACCCAATCAAAAGAACAATTAAAGGAGTAGAATCTACTAAAAATTACTAATCAAATTAATGGACCTAACTTGAAGAACAATGTTTGTTTGCTTCTGAATCTTCAAATATTAATAAAAAATGCAATCTTTGATGAAATCTTTAAATAAAACAAGAGATTCTCACTAAAACTACAAACTAAAGTAGATCTTCGAACTTCAGTTTAGAGATCGTGTTAAAAAACAGCTAAGCAAATCTGGAATTGAAAATAAGTGCACTAGGCAATTTTTAGAAGGGTAGGCTTGAAGAAAACTAATTTTTTTTCCCTTTGTTTTTCTTTTCTTTGGTGCTAGACTAGTTCCCCCATGATTTTTGGTCTTCTTTCCACAACATTCTACTAGTGGTTGGTCCACGTCTAATGGCATTTTCACATGTTTAGCAGCTGAAACTTTGATTCCAACCCTAACTCAAATAAACCTTAACGTGTCCTTCTCTTAATAATCCTCAACTTCCTAATTTGAATTAAATTCAACTAATATAATGACAAGCTTTATCCCTTGCCATATGGCACTAGCTATTCTCATCTCTGTTTGGAATTTATATTACAAACAAGCAGGCTTCAGATCAACACCAAGGCCCATTGACATGGCACACATAAGACCAACGGCTAGGCTTTGATGTGCTAAAATCACTCTGACAAGTGTACAAATTGATTCAAATAACATAATGATTTTTTTTTTTTGGTACACTAGGAGTAAAAAACTAAATAGACATAAAACTAGGTCTTTGATGTGCTAACTTTTGAACTCTTGATAATCTACATATTTCCTTATCTCTCCATTCTTTTCATTATATATATATATATATATATATATTCACCTGTTGACCACAATTTCTCTCTTACCAAAAACCCATCTTCTTCCTTCCATCACAATCCTTTTCATAAAAAAGACCCAAAAATGTCGATCTTCATCTTTCTCCATCATTGTTGCAAATCACCAACAGCCCAGACAAAGATGTCAAGGTTGATGATAAGAAAGCCAACCTAATCCTTGCTTGCCTAAAGCTATGCCTCCAAATGTCCCACCTTCATAGATGAACCTAGTACACATGTTCAATAGGCGAGATCTTTGAGACAAACTTACCATGATCTATAACAAAGATCCCAAAGGCTTTATAGACTAAGTATTTCTCAAGACCTCAGACTCTCTAATTTTGGGTCCTACCTTTTCCTTTGTTCCCCCATCTACCATGCATGTATTATACCTATAACCTTATAGACATTTCCTCCATTTTCAACTCATACTCGATTGGAAAGCATGGCTAAGTTGGTTTGGGTTTTGACCATTCTGAAATTCTGATGAATGGCCTTCATGGGTAGGTAGGTTGGAAAAACCTTTTGGAAACATGTGGAAAACCCTAGGTTTGTATGAATTCATCCAAATGATGACATATTGGACCCCCATGGAAAAAGACGTACTAGGTGTTGCTTTAATGTTTTGGTTTGAATCTTATAATTGTTTCCATTTTCCTTGTAAAGCCATGTTTGTTCTATTAAGGTTAAATGCTAAATTTGGTCCCTCAACTTTATGAAATGCATATTTTTGGTCCCTTAACAAAATTTT